CACAATCTCGGCTCATCGCAACCTCCGCCTCCCAGGTTCAAGTGATTCTCCTGCCTCAACCTCCTGAGTAGCTGGGATTACAGGCACCCGCTACCACACTCAGCTGAATTTTGTATTTTTAGTAGAGATGAGGTTTCTACATTGGCCAGGCCGGTCTCAAACTCCTGACCTCAGGTGATCCACCCACCTCAGCCTCCCAAAATGCTGGGATTACAGGCGTGAGCCACTTCTCCCAGCCAGGAGCCTCGCATTCTAAGTGGTGCCATTATGAACTCGTGGGGGCTCAGAAAACAATACCCCAAAATAAAGGCCTCACAATCCGAAGTTGTTCTCTAACCTTCTGCCCTCCGGTCTCTCAGTCTCCTCTAAGGCTAGTCAAAGAAACCAGAATTCTTCTTCAATGTGGGTCATAGGACCCATAACCTCTTTTCCCCAAAGCCACAAAACCTAAGCTTATGGCTCTAACTTTCCCTCTGCTATTCTGTAAAAACTGGCCATAAAGAAACTGTCTGGCCTACCTTGTCTAACTGTAGGTCATAAGAGCATTCCAGAGAGGGTCTGGCTCCATACCTGGAAGAAAGGAAGGCTGCACAGAGAGACCAGGAGGAATCTAGACAGACAGGCCTTGCTGGGTCTCCCCAAGCAGTCTGTTCGCACTCAGTCAGACGCTCTTTGTCCAGTCCCATTTCCACATGTCATTTAATCATTCATTCATTCACTCATTCATTATGTGATCATGCTACGGAGTGGTTTTGCTAGTGGCTGTATTAACTTGTGTGGTTCTATTCACACTTTTAGCTGATATTACATACTTCTCTGTGCGGATATACATATATATGTATATACAAAATATATGTTTATGTTATATATACATATATATAATATATGTTTATGTTATATATACATATATATATATATATATATATATATATTTTTTTTTTTTTTTTTTTTTTTTTTATTTTTTTTTTTTTTTTTTTAAGAAGCTTTTTTTTTTTTTTTTTCTTTTTTTTTTTTTTTTTTTTTTTTTGCCTCTGCCTCACAAGTAGCTGAGACTACAGGGGTCTGCCACCAGGCCTGGCTACTTTTTTTTGGTATTTTTAATAGAGATGGGGGTTTCACCATGTTGGCCAGGCTGGCCTTGGACTCCTGAGTTCCAGTGATCTGCCCACCTCAGCCTCCTGTAGTGCTAGGATTCCAGGCGTGAGCCACTGCAACCGGCCAGGACTTTTAAACTCAACAGGTTAAAAATCACACTCAGGGCCAGGCGCAGTGGCTCACACCTGTAATCCCTGCACTTTGGGAGCCTGAGGTGGGCCGATCACTTGAGGTCAGGAGTTCGAGGCCACCCTGGCCAACGTGATGAAACCCGGTCTCTACTAAAAACAGGAAAAATTAGCCAGGCATGGTGGCGGGTGCCTGTAATCCCAGCTACTCAGGAGGCTGAGGAGGAGAATTGCTTGAACCCAGGAGGCGGAGGTTGCAGTGAGCTGAGATTGAACCACTGCACTCCAGCCTAGGGAACAAAAGCGAAACTCCATCTCAAAATATTTTTCAAAAAATCACAGTCAGTATTTCCTCCCCACCTTCTCCCTTGTTCACACAGGCATGATGACATGCATATGCCCACACACACACAAACACACACACTTGAACTCCATGGCTTGGCTAATGACTCATCAACCTAGTCATCTTCTTCAACTCCCCTTGCCACTCCCCATCCGGCCCCATCTGATAAGTCCATTTTCTCAAAACACTCCTTCCCTTGACTTCTGTGATGCCACCCTGTTTAATAAATATCTCAAAATAAGACTTTTTACTTTTCCTGCTTTGGAAAAATCTACGAAACAAATCTTGAGATATATTTGCTCAGCCATGGAGACTTATAAATGTCTGCAGATGAATGTTATATCTGCACAGCCGTACCTCTTTAATCAGTTTCCCAAGGCTCCTCATGAGGCCACAATTCTCCTTTGAGTCTTTGAAATTCTAATTCCAACTTCCCCACTTCTTCTCCTTAACTGGAAGAAAGCCTCAATAGTTGAGGTTGCTGGTCTGTGGAAGGTGATCTAACAGTAGATTGCAGGCAAGTCCCTAATTTAGAAATACCTGACTTCAAGCAATGGGCGCTTTGAACAGGGGCTGCAGCTCCTGTGAGGAGAGACTGCTCTCAGCAGGCTTCTGTTCTGGTTCTGACACACCCAGAGAGTGACTGCTGCTACCTTTTCATAAGTAAATGTCCACATGCACTTAGACACCCTAGAGAATTCACTTGGCCAGCACCCAGGGCGAGAGGAAGTGAGAACTGAAAATTCACTGAGCAGGTGTGCTTTCTCACTGGATGTAAACTAGCCAAGATGAAATAGTGATCTCAGAACAAGAACCTGGAAGTTGCCACTCCACATGCAGAACTGCGTTTGAGGGCATTCTCAGAGTTGGAAAGGCTGGTTGAGATCTGAAGGCTTCTGGGCAGAAAAAAGACGGTGCTCTCTAGAGGCTGGGGTTCCCTCAGATCATATGTGATCAAAGCCAAAGAGCCCACTCACGTTAATCGGATACATAGAATTTACTTGCATTAATTGGATGCATAGACCAACGATCCACTCTAAATACAAGGGTGGATTACTATGCCTTTCTAATGTCCACAATACACATTTTTACCATCCTAAATACCACATATTAGATGGAATCAACATTCCTTGGAAACTGACCTAGACATTAGAAGATTTATGGGGAACTAAGCAACAATTCCCAGGGTGAATTCCATGGAACACTGGATCCAGAAGATGCTTCATGAGAAAGAGTGCTCTGTGGCCAAATAAAGTTGGCAAGCAACCCATACTATGGCGTCATTCTAAAGAGTCCCAATGTAGGGTATAATAATACTTTTTTTTTGAGATGGGGTCTCACACTGTTGCCTGGGCTTGAGTGCAATGGCGTGATCTAGGCTCACTGCAACCTCCACTTCCCGGGTTCAAGCGATTCTCCTGCCTCAGCCTCCTGAGTAGCTGGGACTACAGGTGCCCACCACCACGCCTGGCTATTTTTTTGTATTTTTAGTAGAGATGGCGTTTCACTGTGTTGGCTAGGCTGGTCTTGAACTCCTGACCTGGTGATCCTCCTGCCTTGGCCTCCCAAAGTGCTGGGATTGGCATGTGCCACCACACCTGGGCAATGATAAAGACTCCTTAAAGTCCTCCAATAAAAAAACAGATTAACATTAGCATTTCCCTAACATACTTTATCATTGTAATTCATTAGTGATTTTTTTAGCAAAACAGCATCCTAAAACACAAGGTGGTGAATCCTGCTCTAGACACACACTGCACAGAGTGTGCCGCTGAGCAGGTTCGCCTTTAGCAAGTTCACTGTTCTGTGGCAGAATGACTGACTACTTTTAGGCCTCCATTTCCTCACCAAAAAATGCAATGAATACTACTGTTGTGAGAAATAACTGAGATACTACCTGTAAAGGCATTTTATAATGAGCCATAATAGTGTCATCTGCTGTCTTCAGAGGCATTGCAGTCCTGAGGGTGTACTTCTTGAGGTGCAACTCCTCAAAATGCCTTGACAAAGGTATACTTTTGTTCTTTCATTCATTCATGTATTCATTCATTTATTCCACACCATCTCCTTGAGTGGTAGGTCTTAAGGGCTATAGCCTGGTTTTGGACCCTGGGAAGCTTATGGACAGTGGGCAAGTAAGGTCCACTGCATTACTTTAATCACACACACACACACAGAATTCTGGTGGTGGTGAGAAGGTGCCTTACCAGGGAAAGAATGGGATCAGGGAAATCTTTCCTGCTGAAACCGTTAGGATTCTTGAAGGATCATTAAGAAGTTTGCATGTACGGGGGGCTTGGGCATAAGGTCAAAACACTGTAATACAGAGAGTATGTGAAGAGTGGGCCTCCCATGAATGGGTCACATGAACATGGACCCCCAAGGAAGCATACCCTGTGTTCCATCTGTGATACCTGGTTCATCTGTGTCCTCCAAGCAGAGGAAGAGGATTTAGCTAAGCAAGGAGGTTCTTTCTGGAAAGTAGAAGTCCTGAGGTGGGTGGTGATCCTTGACTTTGAATAAGGTGTGTGTGGGGGCACCGTGGGTGGGGATAGGAGTGCTGCTGCGAAGTTATCTTTAAATAAGCAAGCGCCAGAGCCATCCTGGGAGTCAAGCGCCCTCCCTTCTGCCCTACACCAGAGGCCAAGTGTGGGCAACTCTAGTTTCCTCCTCTGCTCTGATGAACTGTCTGTGGGAGAATATTTCCAGACAAAAGAGGTCTTGATGGCAGGTTGGTTTACCCCATGTCTCCAGCCTCCAACTACCAAAAGCAAGTCTCCAAACCCAATAGCTCCTGTCAACAGCCTTCCCAGATTCCAAAAGCAAAGGCCGTCACTGTCCCAGGACGCTACCAATCCCTGGCCTGTGATGCTCCCTCTGGAGGTGCGAAAGCATGGGAGTGCATGGGTATTCCAGAGGCATATGGAACCTGAGGCAAGAAGGAAAATGAACACCTCTACATCCACTTATGACAATATCCTCCCATCTTTGAACTAGGCAAAAAGTGAATAAAAGCTCTGCAGTCAGTGAACATGACCGCATCGGAAGCCAGAGTTGCTCCATCTGTTGCATGCCACTGTCAACTCTCAAACCATCAGGCAAGAGAAAGGACAAATGGGGAGGTGTGGGGGAGAATCTGATATGGCTGTTTCCATTGAATAATTAAGCAGGGTTTTTTGTTTGTTTGCTTTTTGGAGACATAGTTTTACTCTGCCTGCCGGGTTCAAGTGATTCTCCTACCTCATTCTCTTGAGTAGCTGGGATCACAGGCGTGTCACCACGCCTGGCAATTTTTTGTATTTTTAGTAGAGATGGGGTTTCACCAGGTTGGCCAGGCTGGTCTCAAACTCCTGACCTCAAGTGATCTGCCAGCCTCAGCCTTCCAAAGTTCTGGGATTACAGGTGTGAGCCACCGCATCCGGCCAATGAAGCAGGATTCTAACAACACCCACCTTTATTTAAAATGTTGATTTTTGCTTATTATATATTTTTTACATTCAATTTGGTTTTGTTAAAAATATTGTATTAAAATACTATTTATCTTAATGATGGAGTGCTGCCCTGTATGTTTCTTTTTTCCCCAGTAAGCCCTTGGCCCTCCTAGTGTTACTTTTTGCTTCAGTATTTACAGTCCTTTTGTCGAAGGGCACTCTGATGTTTCCTTACTGATGACAGCGTGTTCCTAAGAAACCGCAACGTGCCCAAAACCGAGCAAGGAAGTGCGGCTACGCGGCATGCAGCTACGGCGGAATTAGGAAAACCCCAGGGATTTGGGAGCTCCGAGAACAGAGGCGCCTCTCAGGGCACGGGGGACTGATCTTGCCCTGTATTTCTTGGCAACAGGCTTTAAAGTTTAACTTTTCCAAATCCTGCTGTCTCCATGCCGTCGAGGGGCGCGCCACCGCCGGTGGGAGGACGCTGAGCTGGTGGGAGCCCAGGCCAAGCCCAGAGGCGGGCGGGGAGTTCTCAAAGTGGGAAAGTGGCCCCGTCCCTTCCCGGCAGGAATCCGGAGCTCCTCCTCCGCCCGCCGCGCCGCCATCAATCACCGCGACAACCCGAGCGTCCCCTGCCCGGACACACCGATCCTTCTGCTTTTCCTCCTGAGGGAGGAAATCTCTGGTTGGAGCATCTGCCCTGCACACTGGCTGGACGCACCGGAGGGGTCCGCGCTGGGGACCAAAGCTGTGCGACCCCCAGTCTAGCCCGCGCGCACAGGCACAGGGAGCACCTGACACCCTGCAGGCAGCCACGCAGGTAGAACGCCACAAAGGTCCCTACCACCCCGTCCCGCGCACATGCGCCCACACCCGAACCTCCAGTCACCGTGCCTGCACCCTCCAGCTGTCCCTCACCCCCAGCCCCGCATAGGTCAGCTGAGGACACCCGGTGACCCTGCCTGGACCAGCGGCCACCTCGCCCTGCGGAATGTCACCCTGCCCCCTTCCCCACTCCCCGATTCCCCCTTCTGTTCGCCACGACAGAAGGACTCTCTCTAGCTCTCTTCCCCAAGTCCCCTCCGGAGTGGGGAGAGAGTGCGCGCAGCAGCACCCGGGTCTTGAACCCCAGAGAGCCCCGCCCATGCACGGAGCCTCTCCGTGCTCTGGCAGCGGGCACAGGGGGTGGGGTCTCCGCTGCCACCGCCCCTTACCTCGCGCGGGCCCTCCTTGCAGGTCCCGGAGGCGGGGGCAACCGGTGATCCCGCAGATGAGCGAGGGGCTGGGTTTCCCCGCCCAGGAGGAGCCAGAGGAGAAGGAGGAAAACGAGACAGGGGGAGACAGGAGGGCAGGAGAGGGGAGAGCAGGGGAAAGAGGAGGAGGGGAGAAAGGGCTTTGTGTCAGCCTCCGGCCGTCCCTCTGTGATACCGAGCCATCCCCCTCCCCCAGCCACCTTCCCAAGCCCGCGGAGTGGGTGGAGCGGGGGCGAACGGAGCGGAGGCAGGGAGCAAGGCGCCTGCGCGACCCCGGGTCTGGCCGTTCCCCCCTCCCATCCCCTCGTACCTCCAGCCCCCGCCCCTCCTGACAACCACCCGCTACGCTTACCCGGTTACAAGGAACCCAGGCTGCAACCAGGAAAAACTGCGATCAGAAAGTTTATCTAAGCCGGAGCAAACTTGGCTGGACCGGCCCCTGACCCGCCTTGGCGCCGCCGCCCCTGTCTTCTGCGCTCCCTGGCCAGGCGAGGACCAGAGTTCTGTTCTCGGAGATTCTTGCCTTTCTTGTTTTAGCACAAACGCGCGCGCACCCCTTTCCCATAACGAGCCCCGCCGCCCAGCTGCAGATCCCGGGGTCCGTCGCGGGGGCTGGAAAAGCCTCACTCGAGAGGCCCGAGCTGGCTTCGGCTCTGGGTCCCGGGGCAGGTTCTCCAGGGTTGGATACGCTCTGGACGCCTGGGCGGGTTGTTTTGCTTCGGCCTTGCTGGCCGGGGGCCCGCCCACCCCGCCTGGAACGCGGTTTGGATCGGCGCTGGGAGCCCTTTGTAACCCCAGCCGCAGGCCGCGCAGGCAGGCGGGGACGCGGGAGCCGCGGGGCCGATTCCTCGCCAGCATCCAGCCTTTTCGGAGTCAGGCGCGTCCCTGGTGATTCGCTGAGTTTTCCCACTTCCCACGGGGACCTCACCTTTGGGAGTGAATTGCTGACAGTGTTAGAGTAACAAGCCAGTGTCACGGAAGGAAACTTAAAGGGACAAAGGGAAACCTTAAAGGTGTCAGAGAGACGTTTGTTTTTGGACAGAAACAGACAGCGAAGCGGAAAGAAAACAGACCTTATTTCTGTTCTTGTTCCGCTTCAGACAGTAGCAGAGGAGACTCGGACTTCATTGGTGTTGATTCTCGTGATTCCTGTCTTCTAAAATCCCAAGACTTATTTATCATTTATCATCATCAGCTCAGATCTCAGGAAAACAGCGCACTGCACTTCTGTTTCTGCTCCAAGTCACCCATTAAATAAATAATGGAACACCTGCTAGTGCCAGGCGCAGTTCTAATGCTTAGGATGTGGGCGAACAAACAAAGGTCTCCCCGGCCTGGGGGAGCTGAAGTCCTTGGGGGAAGAGGTGGGAGACAGAGGGCAAACCATGGCCATCCCTAAGTAAATTATTTGAGGTGTTGGAAGAGGTCGGTGATAGGGAAAACAAGAAAAAGAATATGGAGGCCCAGAGTGCTGGTGCCTGGCGCACGTCACAGTATTAAATAGGTGGTGTGGTTATGGTAGTCCTCAAGGAGGGTGGGATTTGAGCTGCGAGGGTTTGAGCAGAGGGTGACCAGCTCTGTTACTGCTGAGAACTCAGTCTGATGCTGTTTGGAGAGCCCACTGTCCGGGCAGAGGTGGAAATAAGCGAGGAAATGATTGAAATAGTTCAGGCTAGAGATGGCGGCTGGTGGCAGGCTCAGAGCAGGGGCCCTGGGGAGAGGTAGGTGGATTCCTATTTATTTTGAAGGTCGAGCTGACAGCAATTCCTGAGAGGTTGTATACATGGGCAAAAGGGAGAGGCAGACAGAGAGGCAGACCTGGCCCCACGTCCCTCTCTCTTCCCTTTTCAGCCCCAGAGTGACCCAGTTTTATAGATACAGGGTGCCAGGTAAATGCTAAAGACACCTGGCCTCTGCTCCTTTCTTCACATCATTTTCTTTTCTCCCCTTCCACCCACTCTTGAAAACGTCCTTCCTTTGTCCACATTGCTCCATGGATGCTCCTTAGGGGCCATATGGCTCTGCCCTTCCCCAGGAAAACATCTTTTACTTAGAAATAAATTTGGGGGTTATTTATTCAAAACTATTTCTTGAGTACCTACTATGCACCAAGCACTGTCATAGGCACTGGAGCTAGAGCTGTGAACCAGACAGAAACATCCCCATGTTCTCTAGAAACTCACAATCTGATGGGGAGGGAGAGGCAATAAACCAGACTACCGATGTGAATGTGTGGTATTCAAGCCACAGAGAAGAGCTGAACCGGGAAGAGGAAGAGAGAGTGCTGGGAAGGCTGCACTTTAAAACGGTGACACTCACCAAAAAAAACGTGAGGACACATGGACTTACCTCATTTTTGGCAGATTTGACCTCTCATCCCAGGGCCCCAAGAGACCAGAGTGGCCGATTCAGTCAGCTGCAGAGAGCACAAGTGCTCTTGGGGCACTTTCGCAGGCTTGGGAACCAGCTAGCCAAGAAAATGCCATTTGTAATGAAGTTATTTCCCCATTAAAGTAAAACAAGCAGCGTTGGTTCTGGAGGCATTGCCCAGAGTTGGCAACTCGGCAATTTGTTTCTGTCCTCTGTTGAGCAGGGCAGGTAGAGGTGAGTGTCGTGTGTGCATAAAATGACTTGAAAAGAGCAATTTTTTTACTCCAGGGTTTGAGCTTTAAAATCATCATCATAATCGTTATGGCAATTCTCATTTATTTATTGATGCGTGCAGATACTGGGAGACGTCACCCTGGCTCAAGCCCCATAGCATAGCCACGTGGAAGATAGAGAGTATCAGCAGATAGCTAACTATTTCCACGGATTGGAAATTACCTAAACAGTGCTTAGAAGTCTGCATCTCCCTCTTCAAAGATACGGTTCACTAGAGAGAGGAGGTTCTAAAAAGAAAGGGACATTGAAAAGAATACATTCTTTCTACTTTTTGACTTATATCTTTGTTTTGGAATCTGAAAGAAAGGAGGGCTGGGCACGGTGGCTCAAGCCTGTAATCCCAGCACTTTGGGAGGCCGAGGCAGGTGGATCACGAGGTCAAGAGATCGAGATCATCCTGGTCAACATGGTGAAACCCCATCTCTACTAAAAATACAAAACATTAGCTGGGCATGGTGGCGCGTGCCTGTAGTCCCAGCTACTCAGGAGGCTGAGGCAGGAGAATTGCCTGAACCCGGGAGGCGGAGGTTGCCGTGAGCCGAGATCGCGCCATTGCACTCCAGCCTGGGTAACAAGAGCGAAACTCCATCTCAAAAAAAAAAAAAAAACCTCAGCCTCGCAGGTAGCTGGGACTGCAAGTGAACACCGCTGAGTCTGACTAATTTTTGTATTGTTTGTAGAGACGGGGTCTTACCATATTGCCCAGGCTGGTCTCAGAATCCTGGGCTCGAGTGATCCGCCTGCCTTGACCTCCCACACTGTTGGGATTACCCGTGTGAGCCACTGTGCCTGGCATGGGCCCTTAACTTTTCAAGTTGCATGTTTATGAAGTCTTTAAACATTTAAAATATTGTATGAATCCTTAGTTAATCTGAAGAAAAACCGGAAAGGGATCCCAATCCAGGTCCCAGGAGAGGGCTCTTGGCTCTCACAAGAAAGAATTGGAGGCGAATCCATAGGGTAATGTGAAAGCAAGCTTATTAGCAGCCGCGTGGTCTACTCAGCTGCTTATACGATTGTATGCTAAACAAGGGGTGGATTATTGCTGAATTTTCCTGGAACTGAGGGTTCCTCCCCTTTTTAGATCATATGGGGTAACTTCCAGAGGTTGCCATGGCATCTGTAAACTTTAATGGCACTGGTAGGAGTGTCTTTTAGCATACCAATGCATTATAATTAGCGTAAAATGAGCCATAAGGGTGACCACAGGTCACTTTCATCCCCATCTTAGTTTTGGTGGGATCTGGCTGGCTTCCTTACCACATGCTGTTTTATCAGTAAGGTCTTTGGGACCTGTATCTTCTGCTAACCTCCTGTCTCATCCTGTGACTAAGAACGCCTTAACCTCCTAAGAATGCCACCCAATGGGTCTCAGCCTTATTTTACTCATCCTGTTTTCAAGATGGAGTTGCTCTGGCGAAAGAATTGGAAACACAAGTGTGAAGGCAATCTTACATGAAATTACTTAAGATTTTGTTATCCTCTTTGACTTTAGTATGTAAATAGCTTAAAAATTTCCAAGTGTTGAGAGTTCCTTGTTGCTCATTAAATTTTTGTTATGAATTTCCAGGTACATTGTATGATGGTGAAGGAGGAGCTTGTTGAATTTCTGCTTTTTCAAAAAATTCATTGGGTCTTTCTTTGTGATCTAATACATGATCAATTTTGAGAAAATATTTCCGTATTTATCTGAATGGAAGACAGATTAAGCAAGCCCCATAATCTAGTTCCAGGCTGAGCATAAAGTAGTTGTTAAAAAATTGTTTATCAGTGAACATGAACAATAATTAGTTAAATGTTCATTTGTCTTGTATATTTTTTCTAAGTCTCTATGTCATTTATTATTTCATCTTCCAGCCAGTCTTCTAGATTATATTCTGTCTTCTACTCCACTCATCATGAAGAAAGTGGTTTTAGGATGGGTGTATTAACATCTTCCATTTCAATTGGAATTCTGACATTTTTCTTTGACTTTCAACTGTTGTTATTCCAGCATTTTCATGCTGTGTTACACAGTACATAAATATGCATGTGTACTATCACATCACCATGGACTGCATAGTTGTTGGTATAATAAAACTCCTTTGCCCAATTCAATGTGTTTCCCTTGATTTATTCTTTGACTGAAATTCATATCATGATCCCTGCTTTCTTTGTCTTTGCATCCATGTAGTAAATTTTTGTCCATCCTGTGTTTTAAGTCTCTCTGTATCATTATATTTTGGAGGATTCCATTTAAAGCAACATATTTCATGACTGGATTTGGTTTTTAAACCCAACTCATGAATTTGGTTTAATTTCTGCCATCCTGTTTTATGCTTTTAGTGTTTTATGAAACCCTGCCATTTCCTAGGTGTTGTGTTTCTTGGTTAAACTGACTGTGCTCTATTTCTTTATATATTCTCTAGTCATTTGGAAAGTATATTTGTTGTTTTAACCATAGTGGTTCTTTCATTTCTTTTCTTTTTTTTTTTTGTGACTGAGTCTCGCTCTGTCGCCAGGCTGGAGTGCAGTGGCACAATCTCCGCTCACTGCAACCTCCGCCTCCCTGGTTCAAGCAATTCTCCTGCCTCAGCCTCCTGAGTAGCTGGGAGTACAGACACACGCCACCACACCCAGCTAATTTTTGTATTTTTAGTAGAGACGGAGTTTCACCGTGTTGTCCAGGATGATCTCAATCTCTTGACCTCGTGATCCACCTGCCTCGGCCTCCCAAAGTGCTGGGATTATAGATGTGAGCCACCACACCCGGCCTCATTTCTTTTTTTCAATATAGAACTTTTGATTATCTATGGGGTGGCAGGCACTGTCCTTGGTACTGTGGGTATGTGATGAAACAGATCAAATCTCTCCTTCAATGTACTTATCATCTAACGGAGGCAGACAAGAAACACATGAACAATTAAATATGCAGATATGCAGAGCATGATGCATACCATGAAAAAAACAGAACAGTGTGAGGAAGAGTGGCTGGGGGGCTACTTAAGTTGGGCTATCGGAGAAGACCTCCCTGAGAAAGTTATGCTTAAGCTGAGATGGATGACAAGAAGGATGCAGACAGAAGAGCACCTGAGAAATATTCCACTCTAGGTTGAAGGAACAGCCAGACGCAAGGCCTTACGGTAGGTGACAAGGAATCTGAGGAAGCCCACTGGGGCTGGGGCTGGAGCCTCGGGGACAGTGCTCGAGGAGGATTTCAGCAAGGAATGGCTCCCTCTGCTTTATATTTCTTAAAAGGCCACAAAGAAGGCTGTGAGGAGAAGGGACAGCGGGGAGGAGATGAGCAATGAATGTCAGAAGGAGACAAAAGAGGTAGACTTTCAGCCTCAGGCAAGGGACGGTGGATTGATTAGGCAGAGGGTTAGAAACAAAACAGAGTGAGTGAATTCAAGCTAAGCTTTGAAGGTAGGACCCACTGCGCAAGCTATTTTACTTATCCCTCCTGTAGTACATTTGAATACAATTTGGATTATATTTTGGTTGAATTTAGCCATCAATAAATTTACTAAATTTATAGGGTGACTTAAAGTAGCAAGTATTTGCTTACATAAACTGGAAAAATATTGTCTCCTTTGAGTATGTGTAAAATAAGTTATAACGAGGTAGTGTCCTTAAAAAAATGTGTGCTTGCGCCAGGCGCGGTGGCTTATGCCTGTAATCCCAGCACTTTGGGAGGCCGAGGCGGGTGGATCACGAGGTCAAGAGATCGAGACCATCCTGGTCAACATGGTGAAACCCCGTCTCTACTAAAAATA